TGTAATCCTGGCACTTTAACTCATTCGTGTTATATATTTATTTATCTCTGACAGGGAATCAAGACAGATTGCAGACAAAATAAAAACGCCTAAAAACCGGAGGGGTGTGTGTGTGTTCTTCATTAAAAAGCAATTAAACACTGATAGAATTAAAACTATATCTATCGTCTATCATCTATCTATCTATCTATATCTATCTATCATCTATCTATCTATCTATCTATCTATCTATCTATCTATCTATCTATCATCTATCTATATCTATCATCTATCTATCTATGGGATCTATTAAAAGCTTGCAGACAATGGCAACCAAAACAGCAGCTCCTCATTAAAAGCAGTCCGTTCCCAAAAGCCGCCTGGAACAAGGAGGTCTTTCTTCACAATGAAAAATCAGTTAGGCCGCCTGGGTGCTTGGGCATAAATATGGTTTGCCTCCTGCCAAGAGAGTTCATCACTGGGTTGTTGCTGCCTCTGCCAGGTCCTGTGTTCCTTAAAGAGGCTTCTTGGGTTGATGGTAACATTCAGCTGTTTGCATATGTTCTTTTAAAATGGATGAATGCGTGCCTCTGCACAAGGATTTGTAACCCAGAGGGAGAGAGCAACACTGAACATATGAAAGAGCCAATCCAATTCCTCCAGATGATTTCCCCCCTTGCTCCTATTGCAATGCTGCATTCTTACCAGTATGGTGTAAAAAAGGCAGATAAATTTATTTATAAATAAAACTGATGCCAAAATGGCGGGATGCCTCAGAGGCACTTGGAAACAGTATTTCCGACCAGAAACCATTCCAATATACAGTGGTATCTCGGGTTAAGTATTTAATTCGTTCCGGAGGTCCATTCTTAACCTGAAACTGTTCTTAACCTGAAGCACCACTTTAGCTAATGGGGCCTACCGCTGCTGCCACGCCGCCGGAGCACGATTTCTGTTCTCATCCTGAAGCAAAGTACTATTTCTGGGTCTGTAACCTGAAGTGTATGTAACCTGAAGCATATGTAACCTGAGATACCACTGTATTGTACTTTTTAAACCCCTTTCTAATCAGGACCCATGTGGAACAGAATGGGTTGGCCCAGAACATTAGCTTCTGAACAGATTTCCAATGAATGCCACCTTCCAAACTAGTAAAACCAACCAAAGTCACCAATCGTCAACACAATTGTTGCTTACAAATAGCCATTGTTATCATGGGGAGCAGAATTAAAATGGTTCCCCTAGCAGCGCCATTCATGCAGGAGTGGTGCTCCCACCTCTACTGGGACTGCTGCTACTACATGCAGACATGTTGGCAATGGTGCCAACCAAGGTCAGCATGCCTAGACCTGCTGGCACCACCTCTTTCAATGCACTGATATGTAGGGCAGTTTCAATGCTAGATACGCATACCAGGGATGGGGCTAGCATAAATAAAAGAATGGAGCGGGTAAATTCAGTTGTGCATTCCCATTGTTCCAGTAAGCATTGCCTTTAGGCTAAGACAGACTCTTGCCTGCAGTAGTTGTGGCCCGTTAGCAGCAATGGTGAAGCCTGCCGCTGCTCCACATTGTGTCCCTGCACCCTAGGAACAAAAATGGCCTTGGTCCAGTATACCTGAAGGAGCGTCTCCACCCCCATCGTTCAGCCCGGACACTGAGGTCCAGCACCAAGGTCCTTCTGGCTGTTCCCTTGCTGAGAGAAGCCAAGTTATAGGGAACCAGGCAGAGGATCTTCTCGGTAGTGGCACCCACCCTGTGAAACGCCCTCCCACTAGATGTCAAAGAGAAAAACTACCACCAGACTTTTAGAAGACATCGGAAAGCAGCCCTGTTTAAGAAAGCTTTTAATGTTTGATAGACTATTGTATTTTAATATTTTGTTGGAAGCCGCCCAGAGTTGCTGGGGAAACCCAGCCAGATGGGTGGGGTATAAATGTTGTTGTTGTTGTTTAGTCGTTTAGTCGTGTCCGACTCTTCGTGACCCCATGGACCAGAGCACGCCAGGCACTTCTGTCTTCCACTGCCTCCCACAGTATAAATAAATAAATTATTATTATTATTATTATTATTATTATTATTATTATTATTTTATTATTATTATTTCAACTACTAAACCAGGTGAGGGTAGCCAATGGGCCTCAAACCCTCAGTGAGTTAGGGATTTCCCCTGCATGCAAAGACGGCCTCTAGAAGATTGAGCAGACAAAGTGAGGGCAGATGGGGCTTGTCAACCTGAGAAGGTAGGCCATCTAAGAGGAGAAAAACTCCCAAATCTCCTCTGCTTTACAGGATATCTTTGGTAGAAGAAAAGGCTAAGGAGTAAACCCTAAGAAATCTGGAGTGGAGCCCCCAAGACAGTTGGATGTAGCCTTGTACGCCTACTTCCAGCAACTCCTGCCGCCAAGCTGGTGCCAAACATATTGCTTAGCTTTCCTTTGGACCACATCTTGCAGTCTGAACAGCCCAGGACCTCCATACACACTGCCCAGGCTTGCACACCACGGAAGGCCACTTCAGTGCCGCTAACACAGCAGTTTGACTTTGTCTCTCAAGATAGAGAGATTCCAACAATAACTAAGCATGTATACCCAGTGCTTTTTTTTTTCTTTAAAAAATGTTTAGGGGTACTCTCATTTTGACTCAAGAAAGTCACCATTTTATAGTTCAGATCGGGGAAAATAAATACAGTAAATGGACAAAAGTACAAAGATTCACAAAATGTTTAGGGGTATGTGTTCCCCTGCATCCCCGCCCCCCCCCCCCCGGAAAAAACACAGGGTATACCCACACACCAAGAGATAGGAACCAGGCGTACTTTGATGTGAGTGGAAATCAAACCCCTCCTCTCCAGAACCAGACACAAACACTAGCACGGCATTATGCCGTAAACCTAGAAAAATTCAGCATTGTTCTAGATCTCTTTCTACCATACAATTATGCAATATGAATGTTATCAGGAAGTTACTAGCAAATCCTTTAGTCAGGAAACTTTTTCCAGTGGACACTACAATGGTTATGTTTCCCTGTAGGGCTGGCAGAGGTAGCGAAGTCCATAGGATTCAATCTCAGCTTAGTGGCCCTTATCCAGCCCACTGCTGCATCCATGTCAAGAACCTGGGGAGCCTTTCTCACCTCAGATGAGACAGAGCTGAGTTTCACCACCACTCTGGCACATAGCAGTGCATCCATGATTAAGCCATGGCTGTATGCTCTTTGCTTGAGATTTCTATGAGATATTAAAGATTTGTTGTTTATTAGTTTAGTCGTGTTCGACTCATCGTGACCCCATGGACCAGAGCACGCCAGGCACTTCTGTCTTCCACTGCCTCCCACAGTTTGGTCAAATTCATGCTGGTAGCCTCGAGAACACTATCCAACCATCTTGTCGTCCCCTTCTCCTTGTGCCCTCAATCTTTCCCAATATCAGGGTCTTTTCTAGGGAGTCTTCTCTTCTCATGAGGTGGCCAAAGTATTGGAGCCTCAGCTTCACGATGTCCTTCCAGTGAGCACTCAGGGCTGATTTCCTTATGAACGGATACGTTTGATCTTCTTGCAGTCCATGGGACTCTCAAGAGTCTCCTCCAGCACCAGAATTTAAAAGCATCAATTCTTCGGCGATCAGCCTTCTTCATGGTCCAGCTTTCACTTCCATACATTACTACTGGGAAAACCATAGCTTTTACTATATGGACCTTTGTTGGCAAGACTAGTACACTACAATTCATTTCCTAAGGTCCCTTCTTGTGTTTAAGACCCAACCCATACAACCTCTTCCACTATTAAGTTTCTGAAAGCTGTGCAGTTATGTTTGCTTCTGAGCCAATTAGAACAGCAATCAAGGCTGGGTAGAAATAAGAGAAGAGCCTTATCTAGGAAAATAAGGCATGTGCCATTAAGCTACATGGGGTAGAGCAATGCTTGAAGTTCAGCCTATCAGTCTTATACCCAAGACATGTGGCCAATGTGATGCAGGAAATAATGAGAGGATACAGCATATCCAAGATTGGCTAGAATGCACAATGGATAGGATGCAACAATGCAAATCATTCTGTTTAGCATAACTTAGGACTGCTGTGGGAAGTGGCAACTGTATAGCTCCCTAAAAATGAATATATTGAAGCAGTAATATTAAAATTTTGATGTCCCCCAAGTAGTGCAATCAAGGGACGCGGGTGGCGCTGTGGGTAAAAGCCTCAGCGCCTAGGGCTTGCCAATCGAAAGGTCGGCGGTTTGAATCCCCGCGGCGGGGTGCGCTCCCGTTGTTCGGTCCCAGCGCCTGCCAACCTAGCAGTTCGAAAGCACATCAAAGTGCAAGTAGATAAATAGGGACCACTTACTAGCGGGAAGGTAAATGGCGTTTCCGTGTGCGGCTCTGGCTCGCCAGAGCAGCGATGTCACGCTGGCCACGTGACCCGGAAGTGTCTCCGGACAGCGCTGGCCCCCGGCCTCTTGAGTGAGATGGGCGCACAACCCTAGAGTCTGTCAAGACTGGCCCGTACAGGCAGGGGTACCTTTACCTTTACCTTAAGTAGTGCAATTATTTCAAAACTTTTGTGTCAGCTCTAGCAGGTTATCTATTTTTAGACACAGGATATTTTACCAAATATACCTGTCTGGATAGATGTTAATTAGTTCAAGACACCATGAACAACTAAATTCTATTCCCAACCAGCACCTCCATTTTTGTTAAATCAAAGTGCTTATAAAAGTCAACAGATCTAAGCTCAGAATTCAAATAATGGTCGTTGATATTTTCTCCTTGAGCAGAGCCCCCACCCTCCAGGACAATCTGTTTTTTAAACTGTAGGGGAATTTAAATAGATGCTTGTGATACGACATGCTGGGGACTGCTGTTCAAAGGGCCCTGGTGTGAGCCTAAGCAGTTCTGTTTAATTTTCACAGGATTACTATGCCTTTAAAAAGTGGGGGCAGGGGGCGAACAGGCATCAAAACAAATCAATGTTCAGGAACAGCAAGCAGCTTCATTTCCCAAAAAGAAAGCACAAGTATGTCATCTACTAAGAAGAAAGAAAATCTATAATTGCTTTTATTATTTTCTACTGTAGTGTTAGCACTTAACAATAATACTCATTCTTAGACTATTTACAATCCTCTGTCGTAGACTCTACTGCACATACATTATCAAGCATAAATGGGGCAATGAACAATTCTGTAAGGCTTAAAAGTAACACATTTGTACAGATGCTCAAAATTTATCATCCAAAATGTAAAAATGTATGTGTCATTACCCATATAACTCTGAAAAGAGCTGGTGCTATTTCAACAAAACAGAGAACATATTTTCAAAAAAAATAATAATACAAAAGAAAAAAGAAATGCGCAATCTGACAAAATATACAATCAGCTTGATCCAGGGCTGGTTTAAACATGCAGATGCTCCAGTATGCACATGTAGCTCCTACAAAACCAGCACCAGAGCCTTGAGTGTACATCCATCTCTGAAGCCAACAGGAAAGCTGACATTAGCAGATCTTCAAGAGCACACACAGAGCTTTGTATCAGAACCAGCAAGGTTTTAGGTTTATGCATATAATACTCATATTTTAAAGAGACATGTAATTGCCAACCTTGAGAATGTTCTGAAAAAATATTAAACCTTATATACAGAATGAGGTAAATGTACCTTGGTCTTTTAAAGAGGTAATTTAAGTTTAAAGCAAGTTTTTACATGTTAAAAAAAATCAAGTACCATTCAAACCATTTTAATGGCACAGTATGAACAAGGAGCTAGCTTAAAAAGTGGATCCATGGCACTCAGTTGACAGATGGTTATTTTGCTAGAATAGCCTCTTACTAGGTATGAATCTGCAAAACTATGCCACTCATATATACAGATATTTTTAGGTTTACAAGACATGAAGGTGTGAAAGGCTACAAAAATCTGAAAAGGCAAATAAAAATGTTATGATAAAACTCCAACTCTTAAGGATTAAGAGTACCTAAAGTTACAGCACTCAAGACATCTGAGTAACAAGGTTTGCTACTGTTCCTTTGATGTGTCTTGTAAGCAATTGGATCATATGTCCAAGATCTGAACAGCAACTGTAATGCTATTTTTAAAAAACTTTATAAAAACCCTTATTAAACAAATGTGTACTGTGCAGTACACATCACACAACAGCTTTCATCAAAATTTTACCAGATTTTTAAAGGTATAACATTCAAATGTTTTGAGTGCCAAAATATTTTGGTCCCCATGGACTCTCAAGAGCAAAACAAAAACAGAAAAAAATATGAATACTTGTCTAGCTGCTTAAAGATGCATATCAGAGCTGTTGTGATGGTCAATCTGAGTCTAAATTGGAAACCATTTTTTAAATTCTTAAAAAATTACCTCCAAAGAGAAGCAAGCTTTTAAGACTTCCATCCCTGATTTCTAAGATTATTATCCAGGTTAGCAAATGGCTCCCAGCTTCCTTCCCCACTGTTCCTCTAGCCCCCAAAGCACATTCCCCACCTATCATTTTGTGTTGTTGTTGTTTAGTCGTTTAGTCGTGTCCGACTCTTCATGACCCCATGGACCAGAGCACGCCAGGCACCTCTGTTCTCCATTTTGCTTTAGACCTTAAAATGGGAAATGAAGGTGATGGTTTGTACATCTCTTAACAGATGCACTCTGATGTGCTTTGCAGGGCATAAGGACCGAAAGTGGTGGCTGTTAAGAACTGGCAACCTCTAGCCCTTTAGGACCTTAATTACCAAGGGAGACTGCTTTCAGTCCTAAACCAGGTAAGTGAATCAGGAGGATAGAAAAGTGCCATTCCCACTCCATACCTGAAGGTAAAGAAAAGAAAGTGCTTTGCAAGTTGGAAGGGATGGTAGTGGCAGTGGGGAGGGGGGTGGCAATAGGATAGCAGAGTCAAAGGAAGGGAACAGGTGAACCATCTGAGCCACTCAGACTGGCTCTGTACAAGTTTTTCTGTTAGGGGCAGAATTGGGGAAATCCAGAACCGATCTGAGGAAAGCCTTAGAGGATATGCCCATCCCTAATCTACATGTGACTTTACAAGCAACAGATTAAAAAGTTCTATGTAATATATACAGGCACTCATTCAAAAGATATTGACAAATTATCAATGGAAAACATGACTAAAATTATATCATCACAGCTGAAGCCACAAACAACAAAGTACAATTTTCATGATATACAATTTTCCTGCTGCAACGTCTATTTTAAGAACTGCTAAAAAATCAACCTCATAATTTTCTCTAGACTAAAATAGTAAAATCATTTTGGCATGAGTGAATCATGGGAAGTTAAGGATTGATAACTGGTATGCAGGCAGCCCCCCATTTATGCACATTCAGTATTTGTGCGACTGTGTAGACATGCACCACACTGAACCTGAAAGTGACTTGGAAATGTAATACTGTAAAGACATCACTGAAATATCACTAAAGGGCGGAATGGGGTGGGTGGGGGAGGAATGGGGCGGCTGCAGGCTTTCTCAATGGGTTTCAATTATACGCAATTTCACAAATGTGCACAAAACGGGGGGCTGCCAGTACAGCTAACCAATATTATTTTCATTCTACATCACTATAAAAAATTGCAGGTGGGCAAAGTCTTCACCTTTTCATTTATGTCTGTGTTGAAGAAAGACAAACTTAAATAGGTAGTTTTTGCTTGCTAGCTTATTTTAACTTTTATGGAAATCAAAAGTATTTTTTTAAAAAGATTTTAGTTTTTCATGGTTCTTCATAAATGTAACTAGCTTGAAGATACATTAATAGAAATTTGATTTGTGCACCAGATATAAGACTTACATAAATGAAACCCAAAATACACCTTAAAACGCAAGCACAGTTTTTCAGTATTGTAGATGTAACAGTATTTTACATCCAGCAGCAAATTTTACAGCTACCTGTATGCACCGGAAAACAAATGGTATATTACTATCCACCTGTGATTTAGTAATAATAGATGGAGGTTTCAAAGCAGTGACTTTCAAGGCGAGCCACAAGCTGTGCAAATACTTCCACATGTGAAGCTCTTGCCACCAAACAGGAGTTGGCCTGCATGGAGAAGTCCAATGGCACCACATTTTAGGAGCGTGGGGACCTAGAGTCAGTCCTTACACATCTCCAGATATATACAATTGGTGAGGTCAGAGCCAATAGTGCCAACCATCTGTTAAGAAAGCACATACTGACCTGACCAGCAAGATCACACAACAGCTACAGATGCTAGGGAAAGTCTACTGCTTTGCACACAAGGACTGCATACAATAAGGCTACACAAATGCAATGTTTTTACACATGGATTACCCTTCGAGAAGCAGGGAAACAGGTGACACTTTAGTAAAGAGCGCTGTTCTTTGAATGGGTAAGGGTCTGTGCAGAAAAAAAATCCCCCCGCCCCAGATAACATCAGAGTGCTAAAATTTATTTTCTCGGATTAAGCCCTCATATCAAATTTTAAAAGAATCTTGAAGTACTCTTTACGGGTCATTAAAAGTTAAGTGCCACTTTTGACACCACAATTCATTGTGATGCACAACTTTAATAACAGCACAGAATTAATTTATATACTTAAAATTCCTAGTCTTCAGAATTAAGAGGTTTTGGTAAAAAGAATTCCAAATGTAGTATAAAATTCCCTTTTAGTTAAGATATATTTTATCATTCTACAAGCACCAAAGGCTTTGCATATACCTACTGAAGTGCATTACAAAAATTGAAAAGTGGCACTTCCTGGTACAGTACAATCTATTTTGAAGGCATGTAATGTTCTGAAGCAAAATAACAGAAATACAAAATATAACTGCATATGTTGTATATGTTCTTCCAGAGTGGATGAGGTAATGTCTTCAAATCCTGATAAATACGTCCAACAGTAAGTGTCCTAGTAGCCAAAAAAACTACACAATCTGATAAGAACAAGCCAAGAGTGGTTCAGAATATAGAGTGCGCCATCATGAACAAAGCAAATAGCTTTAAAAACTTTCAAGATATCCTTCAGTGCGATAGTGTGCACGAGCATCATCTTCATGTTCTCCACGAAACAGGGACCAGCGTTAATCCTTGGAAAACCAGTTTATGTTTTACTGAAGCGGAAGAGGAGTCCGTGGGAAAGAGGAGTCCGTAGTGCAAGGTAGGGAGCTGTACAAAGTTTTACTGCATCTATAGAAATCCTGGGCTAATTACTGATCTTCCTATTTTGTACAAAAGGCAGGAATATCCTTCTGTTCCCCCAGTGAGGTAGAACAATTAGCCTTCTTAATGCACAAATTAGGTGCAGATATGGTCCTTTAAAAGTCTCCTTCAGTAACACCTCCAAGATTACATTTTTATGCCTTCTTGCTGACTGAGCTGTGACAGTGTTTTCTTTATGCGTAAAGCTGTTAGCCTTGCTGCACCGTTGGCATACCAACATTCCCGCATAATTTTGGCCATTACTCGCAAGGCCTGTAAAGAAGTGAAACAGAAGTTTAGTTTTCATACCGTAACTTCTCATCTTTTTGTATCTCAGTGCTATGAATTTTCCACTGACATAAAATTGGTATTTAATTTAGCATATTTGATTGGCAGAGCTGTGGCATTAACTTTTTTTCATTAGCCAGTTGAACTGAAATATCTGACTGCGGAAGATTCCATAAAGTACACTTAGTGTGGTTGAAATGTTATTTTCAAACAAACTCTAAGCTTTACTTGGAAAAAATTTCAAACACTGTGAAGTTTTAGAATCTAAAAGATAATTTGAATTGGAGTACTAGCCATTATTTTAAGATGTAAAAATTCATTAACATAATTATTATTTCACAGGTTAAATTTTAAGAAAGAACACTGAAAAACTATATTAACATGCTTGTGTGTGTAGGTATGTACAGTTCATAAGGATAACTAAATGAAAAGTTAAATATTTTCAATCCAATTCAATTTCCTTCTAGCTGTGCAATATAATTTGTATTATCAATTCTCTTACTAACTACCGTAATTTTATAAAATCATGCATTTCTAAAAATTGAAAATTTCCTATAGAAAAGCATTTCACTGGGAAATTTTCTGCACCCCACACTGCTATTCTTGTTAATATATTGCATATTTGTGTGATTAGGTATGTCCCATAATTAAAGGCATAAGGTGAACGGATATCCTTCAAGGCACAATCAAGTTTCATTTTTGAATATGTAACTCAATGTTTTTATTTTTAAAAATTCAAACTAAGCTGCTTTATACATTTTTAAATATTCTCATTTTGATACAGCTTGAAAAACCTTACCTCACAGCTCTGCCATCGGTTAGGAATATTGGGTCGAAGTTTCTGTTCACAAACAACTTTCCTCATTTCTTCAACTGAAGGATCAGAAGGAACCAGGTCATAATATGGTAGTTGGTAATCTTCATGAATTCCTAAAATGTGTAAACCAAGCTGTAAGTTAACTGTTGTCATGACAGAATCTGAAGTCAATTCTGTTTCATTTCTATTTGTACCTACCACCAATTGAACATCGCCGAGCTATTTCCCAGAACACTAATCCCATTGCATAAATATCTGCTCTTTTGAAAGACTCAAAATGCTTCATGTTTATGGAATCATCAAGTACTTCAGGAGCCATGTACCTATCAAAATGAAAACCAATATGTTTTATTTATCAAGCATTGGTCTCTAAACATAGTTATCTCTAGTTCTCTTTAATTAGGCACTAGAAACAGTTGAGCCACTCTGCCAATTAGGCATTACGCAATAATGACATTCTCAAGATGCTTACTATTGACCTGGCTCTACATTTCAACCAAGACTTTTAAAAAGTAGGAACTTCTGCATAACTGAGAGGCATGCAGAAGTTCCAATCATTTCAGGACAGGGACACCCTGTTATGTGACTGAATATGTGGGCTCTGCACGTATGACTCTTCCTGCTCCATGACAATTTCCTTGCTCTCTAAACTGGACTTACGCAAAGAGAGCACAGACACTTGTTTTTCTGCAACTGAACCTGACAGGATTCAAAATGCCATGGTGCAGATTGTGTGCAGAGAGAAGAAAGCATGACGTTCTGAACACCCCACCATAGGCAGAAAAGGAAAAAGTGGTGTATACATACACAACAGTGCTATATCTGCTGAAGGAGGTTGTGTGGTAAATGAAAGTTTTCCCCCCTCCCAGTTTTACTGAGAAGGACTCTAACACCTCTCCTCATCTCCCTGCTTCTCAGTAGTGTTTGCACAAGCCTTCTGTCATCCCAAAAGGAAGCTTTGTATATTTTAAAACTTTTTATTAGAAGAGTATTTAGAAATCCAGAGTGGAAGCAGATGTGGCTAGTCTAAGTCATATCAGGGTAAAGGAACCTCCAAGAAAGGGAGCCATTGCATGTCACCCCCTCTGCTTCTCTTATTTCATGGATTTTGCTCACCTACAGATCTCAAGATCTGAACTTTTTTGGTCTATTTAAGTTTCCCTGCAGTTCCTCTGGGTTTCACACCATAAAAGGCCATTTCCCTGCCTAGTTCTACTTCTACAATAGGATCTATTCAAGATTATAAACCAAGCAATGTGAAACTTGTAACAAACCATTGCACTGGTTTGTTTGTTTTTTAATCCCTGCACCTGTGTGTCAAACTACAAAGCCATTTTACATACTATCTTGCCATTTTGGCAACTAAACCTTTAGATCAATTTGAGCAGGCTTTTATTCGAGTTTGGTAATCTCTCAAAAATAAGCAAAGCAATACTGCTATTTAAAGAGTAAACAGGTCCGCTGTAATAATATCTGCAGTGTGTATTGTGTTCCGGAATGATCCCACAGTAATAGTTCAGTGAAGACACATGTGAGATACAGGTTCGAGTACATAGGCATACATAAAATGGTCCATATAGATGTTTATCTCTTTACCAGCTGTTGCAAGAACAAGGTTCATGCCAGGTTAAAGCAGCCTAGCCACTTAGCTGCCCTTAAGTAGCAACTATGTTTAAAAATACAAATCTATATTATAATTTACAATGATTTTCAAAGCACTAATTACTCTGCAAAAGGCAGGTAGGTTTGGGTGACTGAAAAATAAATGTTCTGAGAAATTGGGCACACACTTCTCCTTCGCAGTAATTTTTGTTTTTATTACAGTGGTGCCCCGCAAGACGAATGCCTCGCAAGACGAAAAACCCGCTAGACGAAAGGGTTTTCCGTATTTCGATGCGCTTCGCAAGACGATTTTCCCTATGGGCTTGCTTCGCAAGACGGAAATGTCTTGCGAGTCTTGCGATTTTTCTGCTCCCCCCCTTTTTCTAAGCCGCTAAGCTGCTAATAGCCTTTTAGCCGCTAAGCCTTTAATAGCCGCTAAGCCGCTAATAGCCTTTAATAGCCGCTAAGCCGCCAAACCGCTAATAGCGCTAATAGGGTTGCTTCGCAAGACGAAAAAACCGCTAGACGAAGAGACCCGCGGAACGGATTATTTTCGTCTTGCGAGGCACCACTGTATATCAACAAGATGACTATGGGGGAAAGGAACAAGCACCTTCCGATCACCTATTTAAGAGAAGGCACTATCCAGAAGTTCTACATCATTCACCAATAAGGAGGCATGAGGCGGGGAGGAGAAGGGGCACTACTGCAACCACCAGCAATATTTCAACACCACCAGTTACACTGTCAGGTGAGTTATGGTAACAAACAGCAATTATCTATGTAGCTTCACAGTTGTGTGGGAAACTGATCCTTAACTCCCCAAACAGCACAATACTGCACTATGCTGGTTTCCATTATTAGAATGCCTGCTCTCCAAGAGACCCTGGGGGAGTTGTACATTTAAGTTTAGGGCTATGTTTATCAGTCTCTTTAATATAATATATTCTGTTTTTAAAGAGTGTTAATTTTACCTTTTTGTTCCCACCCTGTGGTTTGGTGCAATATCTATTGTGTCTGTAGCTGAATCATGTCTTACTGCCAGGCCTAAATCTGCAATACAACAGGTACCATTTTTCTTTACTAATATGTTCTTTGATTTCAGGTCTCTATGAGCTATAGCTGGTTTTCCTGCATTAAAAAAAAACACACACACACAGAGAAAATTATTAATCAACTAGTGCATCTGCCTAGAAATTTCTTAATTATGCATTTAAATTGAAATTCAAAGCTGATCTTTGGCAATTGTTCAAGTCAAATAAAGCAACTTTCATACATGGTACCAAAGTATAAGAGTTTGTAGAGGGAAAGGCGGGTGGACATAAATTTTGTTAACCACTTGACAAACATGAACACGGTTACTGGTACGCAATGAAAATAATGCTGATGCTGCTGTAATAATTACTTATCCTATTAATTTGAGTACCTTAAATAAATTTGGGTACTAGTCATTCAGACCATAACTCAACATTTCCCTGGATACCAGGATGAGACAACCACCTTTCCATCTGTTCTGAACAAAGGCAAGGTGCAAAAAAACCTTTTGTCTGTGAGTGCAGCAGTGGCTGAGAAGGACCCTCTCCCCAATGGGGTGGCTAAGAAGAGGAGCGTGCTAATATCATTTTGTGGCATTTCCCCTGCCCCTTTGGATGTGGCAGCTATTTTGTGTTATGCTATGTTCTCATACCAGCCCATTGCACTTTCTCAAAATTCTGCTGGCCCACAAAGGTTGGCAACCCCGGCATAGGGAATAATGAGCAAGCTGGACCTATGGCCTGACTCGGTAAAAAAGAAGCTTTATTTATTTAACTGAAGTTATATAGCTGCTCCATAACATAAGTGCTCCGGGCATCTCACAAAATAAAATATTTTAATTTGATGAAATAATAATAGCAATTAAAATAAAATTAAAAATACAATTAAAATACAGATTTTTCTAAAGTAATATAGAATCCCATATTGAAATACACCTCAATAATAAAATGTTTTAAGAGCTTCCAGGTGCATAAAGTACACAGTATTGGCATTCTTTTAGTCCATCTTTGCCTCTGTGTCTTGCTTCGGCAAGCAGGATTTTAGTTGCAACATATGAAAGGAGGACAGATGAATTGACTACTGAGCACTGGGAAAAGTAGTTTGTATTGCATACTTTGTTAATTTTTTTAATTATTTGTTGCAATTTACCGTAATTTTCGCTCCAAAACACGCACTTTTTTGCTCCTAGAAAGTAAGGGAAAATGCCTGTGCGTGTTATGGAGCGAATGCACGGATCGGAGCCATGGCTGCCGTCAGTCAAGCAAAGCAGGAGCCACTTACACTCTCTACGAGGCTCTCACTTTGCTTGTTTTAAAGCGACCTGGAGCCGGGGAGGAGGGAGGGAAGGAGAGCCATGGCAGCAAAGCCGGCGGCAGCCGCTTACAAGGGAGGAGGGACAGACGCTAGCAAAAGTCCGTGCGCTCTCTAAACAGAGCAATGAGGCTGCAGAGGGAGGGCAGGAAAGATAAAATTTAAGTAACCAGCAGCAAAAATAAAACCAACCTCGAGCTCTGAGCCACGCAGTGAAAACCAGGAAGTAAAAAAAAAGGCTGGGGAGGGATGAGGGAGAGGGGAAAACTTCGCAATTCCCCGGAGCAGCTTGTTTTCAGGCAGGATAGATTTGAGCATTGGCTGGGTCCTAGTGCCCCTATCTCTTTTTTTGTGCTCCATTCTATTGCTGCTGGTGGCTGCTTATCATTCAGGCTGCAAGGAGGAGCGCTTTTACACAGCTAATGGCGAATCCCCTGCAATCCAAGCCCTCCTCACTTGCTCAAATCTATTCTGCCTCAAAACAAGGAGCAGACGCAAAAGGCTGCAAACTGTTAAATGGAAAAAACCCAGGCACAGGGCAAATACCTTAAGTATACCTTTAAAGCAACAGTGCTCTTTCCCTCCCTCCTCCCCGCTCAGCTCGCAGGAAAGCTCCTTCTCTACACCCCCACGTGTGCTCCTTGTCCCTTGAGTTCTTTTCCTTCCCTCCCCACTTAAAACGTGGTTACAAAGCACGGATCCACATGGATCCTCAGGATTTTTGCACTGGGTCACCCCAAATTCACCATCAGATCACATAGCATTTCCATGGCTATAGCCTGAACCAAAAAACACACACACACCCACTGTTTCATGGGGGCGCAATGGCGCAAAAACGTGGTTACAAAGCATGGATCCACATGGATCCTCAGGATTTTTGCATTGGGCTACCCCAAACTCACTGTCAGATCACATGTCTGTGGCCACAGCATGAACCATAAAAATCATACATCCACTATTTCATTTAGAATATTTTTTCCTTGTTTTCCTCCTCTAAAAACTATGTGCGTGTTATGGTCTGGTGCGTGTTATAGAGCGAAAAATACGGTATATACCACCCTATACCCGCAGGTCTCAGGGTATATTTTATCACAGAGTAAAATAAAAAACGTAAAACCACAAAATACATAATCAAAATAAAAGTAACAACCACCCAATAACAGCCCCCATTATTCCACTGCTCTTGGCATGACAATCCAAATTTCAATTAAATCAACATACACTTTTTAATGTGCTAAGTTGCATCTCAGTGTTTCACATTTGCCCATATAAGATGATAGAGAGGAATTTATTAAATGACTAATTCCTCTGATTGGGGTGGAGGGAAATACTACACTGGCAGAACATGTGGATGTGTTTTCTACTATTGCTATTAAAAATGCAAACTAATAAAAAAAACCATATTTTTAAAATCTGAACCCAAAATTAGCAGGAAACTAACCAAAGTTTGTTTTATACAGAATTAAGACTAGAAGAGAAATAGGGATATATATAAAGACATATTTTGTCTGAAACTAAACTGCCATGAGAGTTTATGAGGCATCTCAAATGTAAGTAAATGCTGTTATAAATTGCTCAAAAAGGCTGCTATGTGTTGTCTAATGTGCTTTACAGGGAGATTGTATATGTTTAATATATAAGAAATCTTAAGAACACAAGCATAACCATGTGATTTTTCCTCCTATTAGGTCCATATTAATAATGCTACATACTTAATTTAGTAAATTACCTTGAGTGCCAACAATCTCCATGTGAAGATGTGCAAGTCCACTGGCAGTAGACAAAGCTAGTTTTATCATTCCTTCCACAGTAACGGTATACCTGTTTAGGTAATCGAAGAGAGAGCCATGCTCATGATAATCTGACACCAGCCACAGCTGTGTCCATGTACCATTATCTGAAAAAAAACAACCCCAGAAGAAATAAAATAAGCATTTCCAAAAGCAAAACATAAAAATTATTATCTTGTATGTGGCAAGCATTTCATTTAACCATGGTCTCTTTCTACTAAGTTCTTTAGCATCTACTGATGCTAAAACATAAGAAATGGTGAAAGCTGTAATCCTGCATACACCATCTGTTTCAATCCCAATGAAGTCATTGAATCATAGAGATGAAAGGGACTCCAAGGATCATCTAGTCAATGATATTTAAGCAGTTTGTGTAATTGCAAACAACTGAATAATGATTTTTTTTGTTTTTGAAAATACAAAGATCACCAGAACATTTGAAATCTGGTGATTTATTTCTTCTTCACTCATTAAAACAAATTATATGCCCTTTTCCAAGACTATTCCTAGAAACTCACAATCTTAACAGTTTTTTGAACGTACTGTACAATCAATACCCAAAAAATTTAACTAACACAAAATAGTTACTAGCAGATTCTTATTCAGATTAGTAATCCTATGAAACAAATTAAAACAATTTTGTCATTAAAAACAGGGTAATGACTTGGCATTTAACTAGCCACCTGAAAGCTAACATGGAAGGAACCAACTATGCTTCCCTTGAGGAAATTCCACAACATGGGAATACCAAGGTGAAGGCTGTTTTGTGCCTGCCAGCTTACTTGACCTTACTGGCAGGCCTACAAACTATAACTGATCTTAGTGCCCATGCAGATTCATAATTGTGTGCTGCAATTCTAAATCAATTATATGAGCAGCATTTCATTCAAAAGAGGGAAGACATTTTTTCCTCACTGCAAGTTTCTGGGTGTTTCCAGGAGATGAAGAATGGTAGCAATTTATTCATCATCTTTGAACTTTACAACTCTATGATTCACAGAATAGAAATCAATATGGGGCATATACAAGAAACACAAACACTAATGTGAAGCTAATGTAGAAATTACTTCAAACTGACAAAGTGCAATAGATAGCATTATGAGATTTCAACAAGCAAAAAGGGACCAGAAGTATTTTTAAAAAAACTTAACCTTTATTGTCTGCAGCTATGAACCCAAGAATATTTTCATGACGTAACATAACGGTTTGGTAGATTTCTGCTTCACGAAACCATGAACGTTCTTCTCTTGAGGAGAAAATTTTCACTGCAACTTCTTCTCCTCTCCATTTTCCACGCCAGACTTCTCCAAATCGACCCTTTCCAATACTTTCCTGAAGTACAATTGTTCTTGCAATTGTTCTTTGAACAAGTAAAGGTAAACCTAAAAAAAAATAATAGTTTATTTTGAAAACAGTGACCAAGTTTGTTACTTTTAAAGCTACCTGACTGGATAAAAAATCACTATCCATGGCTGAGATCCAAGATAACTGATTTCTTCCCGTTTTTCTTCAATATTATAAATAACACAATAGAGCACCACAACCTTTTCCTGATATATGGATCAGTTTTATAGCTTTGATCTCCAAAAAGTGCTATATTGCTTTTGAGATGTGTCAATGTTTCAGTTAGTTCCTGAATAAGGAGACCAGGAAGATGTTGCTTGGTATTCAATACAGTTGCATTTTCTGCAGGGGCTGAGCTCCAAGGGTTCCGTATATACATAAAAATGCATATACTCAAACCATTGGAGCCACTCTCATGTGAGCTCAGCCTGCTGGCTCCAGGGGCCCTGGGATGCTTTTGCAAGGGCTCTTCAATTTCCTGTAATTCTTTGAATCTTGTGGGAGCATCTTGAGGCTTCTGAAGTCAATGCACAGTGAGGGCCTTGCCTGCATTTAATTTGCAGGATTTCAACCAAAGGTCTTCAACTGTATACAGTTAAAATCATGCAAGTTAAATGTGACTAAGAGGCAAACGTACAAATTACAGGGCATAGTTTTTGGGATCAGATTCCAATCACTCACTCCTCAAGTTGTTCCACAAATTTCCTCAGATAGCTCCCAAATACATTTTTAGTAAACATGGCAAAATATGTATATAGGGTTGAGCTCCCCACACTGAAATGCTGGGCTAAGGATCCAGGTTTTGATCTGGGCTTCAGATGGTAGCAACAGTGGGACATGGAAGGAGCAAAATTCATGGTAGGAACAAAAAGGACCATATGGAAGTAGTCTTTTCTCCTTCTTTGCTATAGGAAGAGCTTTTTTACTTTTTAAAACTGAGAAGGAAGAAATACTTTGCAACTATCTTCTCTAGTTCTTTCTTGGTTTCAAATACAGTGATGCCCTGCAAGACGAATGCCTCGTAAGACGAAAAACCCGCTAGACGAAAGGGTTTTCCGTTTTTCGATGCGCTTCGCAAGACGAATTTCCCTCTGGGCTTGCTTCGCAAGACGAAAACGTCTTGCGAGTCTTTTCGCTCCCCCCCTTTTTCTAAGCCGCTAAGCCACTAAGCCTTTAATAGCCCCTAAGCCGCTAAACCGCTAATAGCACTAAGCCGCTAATAGGGTTGCTTCGCAAGATGAAAAAACCGCTAGACGAAGAGACTCGCGGAACGGATTATTTTCGTCTTGCGAGGCACCACTGTACAGGAACTCTCTATTTTAAGTAATGGACTGTGGAAAGTGAGAGAAGACCGTCTTTGGTGCAACCTTTGGAAACTAAAGGCATGAAACTACACCTTCTCAGCTGTTGTTCAATTAAATATTGATGTGGTTTTTCTAGTCAGTAACTGGTATCTCTAACTTCTCTCTTCAGCAGAATATTACTGAGCAAACAGCTACTACACAACATGCCAAAAGGTTACTCTGTGCACGGTTTCACCTCATTTGTAAAAAACACCAAACCGTGGTTTAGAGCAGAGCTGGCTAATCTGTGGTCCTTCAGGTATTGTTTGACTCTAACCCCCATCAGCCTCAGTCAGCAGGGCCAGTGGTTGATCACTGCCTGTAGTGCAGCAACATCTGGAAAACCACATGTCAGTTACCCATGGTTGATGAGTCACAGCAAGACATGGGTCCCACTCTCTCCCTTTTCCTCTAGCAAGGCTGCAAGATGTTAGTCCAACAAATTGCAGGAAGGCGGTAAAGTCTCCACCCACATTCTACATGGGTGCATGTAGCTTGTTGTGCAGTTTGTTGTGATCTCCAAACCCAGGCAAACTTTGGTTAATCTTAACTATGGATTTTGGAAAAAGAAAATGTCAAAACACCATTTATGAAGGTAGATTGTTTCAAATAGGGCTGGCCCAAAATAACAAGGGGCAGTTGGTTACTGTTTCACCCATCTCAAAACTTGCAGAGTAGATTCACCTTCCACCCCTCCCCCCATTAAAGGTAATGAAATCTTTTCATGAGACTGTAGAAGCAGAACTCCAGAAATAAAATAAATAGCTGCTGCAATGAAAAATGCCACTGTCACTCACTTCCTGGCCAGGTTTTATCCATATTCTAGTCTTGCTAGCCTGTAGCCCCAACTTTCATTTAACATGGGAGGATGGGACATGCAAGTTCTAGCCTTCATAGAACTAGGAATAGGAGGCAAAATGCACAGGCACTTGTATTAGCCAACCTGCCTATGCCTGCCTTGGAGCACTGGAAAATAATCTGCCACTTTAGCTCTCCTGCAAAGGAAGCAGTAGTGAGATTACAGATAAGACATTTTCCTGTGACATTGAGACCTTTTCTTTTTGCCTATAGCTCAAACTATTTCCTATTGATATTAAGAAATCTTTTACAGGTTTTAATACCATGTGCCTCCAATTGTTGTAATCACTATGGGACTAGGCTCCTTGCTAGATCAAAAAAGATGGTAATACATACACAGATCCTGCCATACTGTTTATCCCCCAGTGTGTATTGCAAGCATTTTGGTGAGATTGTGCAGATATTAGAAGTAATAAATGTTGTATATTTCAACAACATTTTACCTTAATCTCAAGATCTATATTTTTTAGGTAGGGTTTGTCTGCAACAGAAGAAAGCATTTGAGCATGGCACTGAAACGAAACTTCAAACAAGCTTTACTTTTGGTTTGAAATCTGATTAAAATCTGAATTTCTCGCAAGTTGCTGGCATATGATAACTAATTATGATTTCTGCCTAGCTATATCCTCACAACCCCAGTAAAATACAATCGCAAAATCATTATTCCCGTAACATTTAGCAAGTAACTATGCTTGTGTTGCACATAATACTATCCCCTTTAAAAGATTATGTACTAGTATATGGGGGGTGAGGGGGAGAAGAGGGCAGCAGGAAGAGGGAAGAGACTCTTATTACCTGAACCTGAGCCTGAAGTCGTCATGTCATAAATTAAATCTTTTAAAGTTGTTCCCTCAGATATAAATGGAGGACGATCCATAGAAGGATCTTCTTCACTTGGAACACGATGGTGTATGACGGCACGATTATGGCAGATATACAAAATCAACATAAGTGAAATGCAAACAAAACAAACAGGTCCAGCAATGACAGCAGCCAATTCTACTGGTCCTAAATTAGAAGGCAGCTTTCTTGGGAGGGGACCTAGAAGTGGAATGGGGAGACACAGAAGACAAATAAAAATAACCTATCATTGTATATTCAATGCCTGTATATGTTTGTGCACTTGAATAAAACAGAAATATCTCTCTATGGACATATATCTACACAAGATTCCCCCTTCCCCCAGTTTTCAGGTAAACTTACTTGGTACATCAAAAGTGCAATACAGGAATAGAAGATGCTACCATGTGATTAAGTCACTGGATGCTTAGATTGTTCCACTATCTGTTTTGATTTTAACTAAATTATTTTATATTGTTTCTCACATTATGCTTTCAAAATTGGGAGTGGGGAAAATTACCTGGGGTTGGAATCGGTAGCTCTATTTTATTGCAGAGGTCTCTGTCACAGCAATGTGGCACAGTAATAACTCCTTCACTTGTTGAGGGGGCACAAATAAATGGCCTGTCTCTGGGAATCAGGTCAACTTGTGCCACACACATGCTATTGCGTGTTATTTTCTCTCCGTTCCGTGTTACAGAAGTGAAGCAAAGTCCATCTGTTGTGCATGTAAAGTTCTCTTTTGTACAAACAAGACAGTAACACTGTAGAGCTGGGGGGGGGAAAGAGAGGTGTTCATATTAGTTATGCTAAACACTGGTGGAGTTACAAAATCCAAGGGCCCCCAAAATATGCTTCCGCTCCTAATTGCTAATTTATAACAGCATAAATTTATTAATGCATATTTGGTGCAATAGCTGCCAAACAGCTTTCAAGTAAATCCAGGGATAAAGCAGCTAGCGTATGCAACAAGTTTCTACATGAATTCCTTCTATCAGTTTGGGTAAGTTGACAGCCAACATCTGGGAAAAAGAATAGCATTCCAGACATATTTTCAGATGGTTGTTTTTTGTAACCTTAACATGAAATAGGTTCACAATAATCCAAAGAACTGTGAAATGAATTGAGTTTCTCAAACAGGATCCCTTCATATAATATTGTAAATCATTTCTGAAACTGGTGGGAAATTTCAAAAACAATGTGTGATATAGCTTGGCAGTCAACTGTTCATAGTGAATATTTTGTAAAACTTCATTGAGTGCATGCCAGGCCTGGGGCGCACTGATAGTATGTTTTTTGACAGAACAACTAACATGGTACTAATGGTACTAATACAACACATCAAAAAGAACAAAGGGTTGTGTGGCACGCTACAGAACAAAAAAATTATTATGGCATAATCTTTCATGGATCATTGTTCACTTGGTCAGATGCATGTAGTTGCAGGTATATATTTTGGTTAGGGCAGGGATTTCGAAGTCAGAGGGAAATAAAATGCATAAAAAAACACTGATAATTATGTACTGAACAGTGGTAATTTACAATGCAGATTTTGAAAGCAGGCTTTCTGACATTGGTAAGCCAATTAACACGTATGTGTTAAGGATCCCTCATCTCAGTTCAGTTCACAAGTGATAGCACTGAGCCTCTTGATTGTAATTCATGGTTCCACACTACAGTCTCTTTGAGATTTCCTGAATTTGTGAGTAGGTTGAAATATTTCCTCACTGGTTTTTGAATATTACAATTTCTGTGGTCACATTTGTGGTCATTTATTATTTTTTATAGAGCAGCGATGGCTTAGCTGTGGCCCATATACAGCCCCATACCATGTGAAAAGCATGCCACCTAGATCTGTCAGGAGCAGTGGCCCCTTTTAGGGGGTCTTTTTTCTCTCTTTGACACCCTACCCCCTTTTGAATTGCCATGGTGCTCAGTGCTGACTGCCCTGCAGGTACAGTCAAATGTTTTTGTCCTCAACTTCTCTTCCAATCTTCCAAAGCTTAGAGAACCCTTGCTTGCTTGTCTTCAGCCTTTTCCTCTAGAACCATGAGTAGTGCTTTGAGTAGCTGGCTATGATGTTTACACTGTCCAAGAGAGATAATCTTGCATGATCAGTCCTGATAGCCAGCAGCGGGACAAACTGAAGCACTGAAGTAGCTGACTGTGCCTGCAGCAATTTCTTAAAAACTTACCAGTGAGCAATCTGAAATGGAGAGGGAATCAATGTGGAAGAAAGGGGGTATAGATGGAAAGCAATGCAATTAATGTTGTGGTGAAACCAATTTAACTTAGGAAACTGAAATCAATCAATGAAGAGGAAAAAAATTGGGAGGTCTTAATGGGGCACAATGAAATGAAGCCAATGTTCACAGGAAATCAATGTAGAGGAAAGAGGGGGTTAATAATATATTAATGCAGAATAAATTGATTGGTTAAGTTTCAAGGCAATTAAAGTAATTGGGGTGTAGAGGGGAAGTTCATTTTTTAATGGAGAATAAAATTTTGGAACCCTCCTACAACAGCAGTGCCCTGGAAAGCAGAAGTGCTGCTGAATATATGTCTATCTGCTGCTGAGTCTGTTCTTCTGCCAAGCTATCTGTGTGTGCACAGCTACGTGCAAGCTACTCTGTTGCGTGTGTAAGTGTGTACATGTACAGGCACTTTCTGTGTAACCACACTCCCTAGTGTGTGTACACATTGGCATGCAGCCCTTGGACAGGTAGTAAAACCCTCAATATGGTCTCCAAGCAAAACAAAAAACAAAACCCATTAACTATCCCAGCCATAGAGCCGGGAGGGTTTGTCCTATGTAGAATACAGAAGGGCATTGATGACCTTTAACAGAATATATCATATTGGAAGATGAACAGGTAAATGAACCACTGAGGCTGTAGATTAGGTCCAGTACCAGTGTTGCCAGAGCAGACATGAGGACAGCTTTGGAGACTGGGTCTGCCAAAGGGGCTGGTTCTATTCTCTGTGGCTCTGTTACCTGGCCTGTTGTTGCAACATATCAGATTTACTCACTTGTTACATTTTAACCCTAAACTCCTCCTAATGGAGCCCAGAGCAGCTATAATCCAATTTACCATCAGAAATAGTTTTTAAACCGTTATGTAAAACTTGGGAAAACATAAAAACTGCTCACCCGAAGGCTTGAACAAACATTTTTAGCTGTCAGTGGGATAGCAGCAACACACACACAATTCTGCGGGGAAAGAGTTCCACAATTGTTGTGCCACCACAGAGAAAACCTTAGCTTACGTGACTGCCAAGCCAAACAGGCTGTGTTCATTGGCAAGACTGCAGCAGATCTTAAAGTTCAAGCTGGTTGGTATTGGAAAAGGTATGCCCACAAATCCCACCTTTCTACAGCACTTCCAACTTATCAGGATTCAATTCAGCTCATTGCCCCACATCTAGCCAGTCATTGCCTACAGATCCATCGATCCATCTTTCAGATTTAGGGGAGCTAGTCTCAAACGTTTGTTGGGGGAGACCTAGGTTTTTTTTTTTTAGGGGGGTTATTTGTCCTGTCTTCACGCTTTTTAAGATGGACCACCACTGTAGCCACCCCCAACGACACGTTTTCAAGATGGAGGGTGAGGGAACAGCTGCAGTCGCCTGCGGTTCCTGCGCAATGTTTGCCATCTTGCCAAAGGTTGCAGGCAGCTTTACCTGCAGCAATTGTATGTTGATTGCCCTCTTAAAAGACAAAGTCCATCAACTGGAGGAACGTGTAGCTACGCTCCAAAGAATTGGAGAGCTGCAGCTCTTCTTGGAAGCAACAGAGAACACCGTCTCCACCAAGGAGGAGACAGGGGACACCCCTGAGAAGGAGGCTAGTTCACCAACACAGGTGCCAGATATATGGAGAAACGTGACTCAAAGAAGTAGGAGGCCCAGGGTTCACTCTGATTGTTTAGAAATAAACAATCGCTTTGAAGTCCTCTCCCCTAGCATGGAAGATGAAGAACGGACTCCATTTGAGGATCTCTCCCTCATTACAGTTGATCAGGTATATGAAGACGAGCAGCAAAGTCAGTCCTCAGGGAATGTGCAGGCGACCTTGGAACGGACAGCTCACCGAAGAACCCCAACCAAACCTAAGAGGAGGCGTGTAGTGGTGATAGGGGATTCCCTACTGAGGGGAACAGAAGCAGTGATCTGTGGGCCTGACAAGATGTCTCGGGAGGTGTGCTGGGAGGGGTGGCTAACACCCCAGAGGACAGGATCACACTTCAAAAGGACCTTGACAGATTAGAGAACTGGGCCAAAACAAACAAGATGAACTTTAACAGGGAGAAATGTAAAGTATTGCACTTGGGCAAAAAAAATGAGAGGCACAAATACAAGATGGGGGACACCTGGCTTGAGAGCAGTACATGTGAAAAGGATCTAGGAGTCTTGGTTGACCAGAAACTTGACATGAGCCAACAGTGTGACGCAGCAGCTAAAAAAGCCAATGCAATTCTGGGCTGCATCAATAGGAGTATAGCATCTAGATCAAGGGAAGTAATAGTGCCACTGTATTCTGCTCTGGTCAGACCTCACCTGGAGTACTGTGTCCAGTTCTGGGCACCACAGTTCAAGAAGGACACTGACAAACTGGAACGTGTCCAGAGGAGGGCAACCAAAATGGTCAAAGGCCTGGAAACGATGCCTTATGAGGAACGGCTAAGGGAGCTGGGCATGTTTAGCCTGGAGAAGAGGAGGTTAAGGGGTGATATGATAGCCATGTTCAAATATATAAAAGGATGTCACATAGAGGAGGGAGAAAGGTTGTTTTCTGCTGCTCCAGAGAAGCGGACACAGAGCAATGGATCCAAACTACAAGAAAGAAGATTCCACCTAAACATTAGGAAGAACTTCCTGACAGTAAGAGCTGTTCGACAGTGGAATTTGCTGCCAAGGAGTGTGTGGAGTCTCCTTCTTTGGAGGTCTTTAAGCAGAGGCTTGACACCATATGTCAGGAGTGCTCTGATGGTGTTTCCTGCTTGGCAGGGGGTTGGACTCGATGGCCCTTGTGGTCTCTTCCAACTCTATGATTCTATGATTCTAGACACTGGTCCAGCACCTTAACTGCCTCTCCATTCAGATGGAATAGAGAACTGGGTATCATCAACACTCCAAATCCCTGGTTGACTTGTCCCAGTAAAGTCATATAGATATTGAACAGAACTCTGTAGGACTCTACAGCACAAGCACCAAGGGGCCCAGCCGAAGTTCTCCAGTGCTACTCTGGTGGTGGTTCTGGAGATAGCAGCAGAGCCACCACAACACACATGTTCCCAACTCTCTATCTATTGAGCAGTGCCAGCAAGATACCATGGTCAATGGCATCAAAAGCCACAATATATGAAAATAATTAAGGTAGCACTCTCCCTGTCTCTCTTCCAAACAAACAAACAAAAACAGAACACAAAACCATCAGTCAAGGTGAAGCTAGACTGAAACAGGGCTGGATCATCCACTTCATCCAGGCACTCCTACAGCAGACCATCACCAGCCACCACCTTCCCAATCACCTTGCCCAAGAAGGGGATATTTGCAACAATGCAGCAGTTGTCTTAATGTCTCTGAGTCCAGGGAAGACTTTTTGAGATAAAGCATTAAAACTGCTTGAGACTTCTATAAAGCAGCTTTCCAATAAATTGGCAGGTGTATCAGAGACTTCCAATGAACACCTAGACCATAGGTCTAGGTCCCACCTATGCCTATAGTGCCCCATAGATATGCCTGCAGTAAGGGAGTCATAGAATAACAACACTGTTCACTTTCTATTTTGTTTCTATGGCTTTCTAGACTTCTCCCAGAATAGAAGTGTGATGGGAACTAGAATGCAGAAGTGTCTACTGTGGTGAGTAAAACAAAGAAGTGACTACTGTGGTGAGAAAACAAAGAGGTTGCTACTGCAGTGGGTAACTTGGTTGCCCAGGGGTTGCCATCATGGGGCCCCAGGAAGTGACAGCTGTAGTCTGGCTGCAGGAAGTGAGAGCTGTAATTATTATTTATTAAATTTCACAGCGTTGCCATACGTCCGGGAATTCCCAGACATGTCCTCTTTTGGGGGTCCTACATGCCCATCCAGGGGGAATTTTACATTTTAAATCAAATGTCCTGTATTTGGTGTTTTTTTTTAAAGAAAAAATAAGTTGTGTGTGTGGTGCTCTGGTTCAGGCTCTGGCGTGGGTGGCGGCAGAGGGAGCATCAGGCGATTGCCCTAAAAAAGCTCAACTTTTTGTGTCCAGATTTTTACCTCTTGAAATATGCCAACCCTAAATTTCTATACCACCCTTCAGGCAGTTTACATTATAAAAACTCAAAAATACATACCATAGTAACACACATTAACAATGACACCCACAGAGTTAGAAGGAACAGGGACGCCACATCATCCTCACTCCACTCCCTGCAAGGCTGTGCCACAGGAGAATTGTCTTGCTAGGCAAATTTTACAATTTACCAAAACAGCATCCATGATATCCAAAAAAAATTCACATCTAGCTCATCGGTCTCTTCTCTCATTTTCTATTACAGTACTTTCATCTCTTTCTTTCTGTCACTTAGTGGTGCCTTTCTGTATCACTGTCTTCTTGCACTTTTGGTCTGTGACCTATCTTGCCTTATTTCTTCTCTCTTCTCATTGGGACTGTGCATGGACTCCCAATCTGCCCTGTGACCTTGATCTGCTGCTCCCAAATCAGGCCAATTCAGTCTGTGCTGCCCCAGTGGCTGTCCAGCTCACCCCAGATTCGGTCCTGCAGTGGGGCCAATGTCTTTTTAAAGGGGTTTATACTCCTGTTTTAATATGCATTTTTTTTAAAAAATTTAAGGTTAAAGGGCAGGCACACCAAGACAGCACAGGATTGAATCCCCCTGCTGATCAGCTGTTAAACAGGAGGATTCAATCCTGTACAGCAGTGTTTTTCAACCTTTTTGAGTCCACGGCTCCCTTAACCAACTACATTCTTTCTGTGGCACCCCTGTGGGGCTCAGGAGCCCAGTTATGTCACCCCTTGCTTGTAGAGCAGGCAGCCCCTCACCCTTTTTCGAATACCCTCCCTTGTGGAGTGTTTCCTCAGCCTCCTCTCCTTGAGAATCCTCCAGGCAGCCACTGCTGCCGCCCCTGGTCTCTGAGCTGCCCTCTAGCCTGCCCCACAGGGGCCTGGGATTTGTCTGTCCATTCCCAACAGCAAAGGCTGGCTGGGCTTTCTCACCCGCTTGCTTGTTTAGTCTGAGGTTACCTTGGCTGCTGGTAACCACCACTCCCTGACCAGCCCCATGGGCACCATTCACCTGGGGAACTTGTAGCCAGGGCTGCTGCAACCAACAGCACACAAGCCTTTGGGAGGCAGACACGTGAGAAGGCATCAGAAGAGAGGGGGGGGGGAGGACATAGGCCAGTGTTGCTCATGGTAACCATGACCATCATTCAGGGCACCCCATGGCACCCTGGTTGAAAACCACTGCCATAGAGTACCAGTCACTACTCCTTTGCAAGTGGCTGTCCTTGCACTCAAGGGAAGCAGGCCACTCACAAAGGAGCAACAACTGGTAGTTTTGGGTGTCTCCATGCAACCCTTCACCGATGCGCCACAGGTGGCCACAGCAATGCAGTGAGGTACTGGATGAACCTTTTGTACAGTATTATCTATGGCAGGCATCCCCAACCTGTGGCCCTCCAGATGTTTTGGCCTACAACTCCCATGATCCCTAGCTAACAGGACCAGTGGTCAGGGATGATGGGAATTATAGTCAAAAACATCTGGAGGGCCGAAAAGTTGGGGGTGCCTGATCTATGGGCACAAATGTAAACTGCATTTTTATGGCTGATGTATGGAATCTACTGATAAAATATGAATCCAATAATGTCTGCAACTGAAATCTAATTTTTTGAACCACAGGTGCCACAATGCATTTAAATGTATTTACAGTGGTACCTCGGGTTAAGTACTTAATTCGTTCCAGAGGTCCATTCTTAACATGAAACTGTTCTTAACCTGAAGCACCACTAGCTAATGGGGCCTCCTGCTGCCGCCATGCTGCGCCTGATTTCTGGTCTCATCCTGAAGCAAAGTTCTTAACCCGAGGTATTATTTCTGGGTTAGCAGAGTCTGTAACCTGAAGCGTAAGTAACCCGAGGTACCACTGTATTTATCTATGTTTCTATGCTACTCTTCAGTTAAAATTCTCAGTGATGTCAGATCTGTTTTTTACTCTGCATTTTCTGACCACACAAATATGCACTGCAGAATTAGGTCATGTCTGTCCATGAAAGTCATGCCTAAGATCATGTATTTTGCATCATTGCTGCTTGCGGTGAAATCTCAAGTGGTGGATGCAATGCCCCAAACTCAGGTTTTCGCACTAAGATGTTCCACTGAAGTGCTGCGTCTTCAATATGTACAGTCTTTGCATACAGATCAGCTGTGATCATAGTAGGTTAGAAGTGCTTTGTGGACTGCTTACAAAAATAGTGTAACATCAGTAGCTGTAGATGCAACTTCTACAACCACCCCCACACACACCCATTAAAGCAACAGGCACAACGGCTTTTGAGTTCCCATGATTTTTGCCATCCTTTTTACGATTCAATGCGGTTCTTGGCATCGGTGCAGTTTTGGCCTCAGCCGCAAGCACACCGAGCTGGGTATGAATGCGGACATCAGTGAAATCTCAAGGCTTAAAAACTTCTTCAAAACACAGGCATTCCTTTCTCTTGCGAGCAGCGCGAGGATACCGGTAGTTGCACCCTGCAAGCTTTCCGCAGCATCTCACCGTCACGGCGCGGGAACAATGCCGGGTTTCCTCCGCTGTTTCGATCACAAAGTTTCAGCCAAGTGCTGAGATAACGTCAATCATCCCAAGGGGCACCACCCTCACCTCTCTCTCCCTGCAGCACCTCGAACACAGCGAGGAGCACACACGGCCGGGCCGCCGCGACCCTCCTGCTCCAGGGGGCAGCCAAACTGCGTCCCGCCCCTTCCTCGCCCCAGCGAAGCCCAAGAGACCCCCCCCTCCCCGCGCCAAGCAGCATCTGCCCTCGGGAGCCGGTGGGGCTGGAGAGGGAGGGGCGGGGGCTCGGGAGGCGAAGGAGAACAACGCGCGGCTCCCTCGGCTTCTGGGGCGCGCCCTAGAGTGCAATACTACACCAAAAACAAGGCGCGCACCCCCCCCCCAAGAAACACGCGCAGACGAGACTCTCTAGGCGCTCGCTTTCTTCCTTTCTTCTCCCAGGGAGGCACTAGCCTTTGTGAGGGCCGCCGGCCTGGGCGACTCGGCCCGCGCCCTCTCGTTCTCCCTCCCCGGGCGCTTGCTTCCCCTTCTCCCCCCGCCGGGACGCCTCCTCGGGGAGCGGCGCCATGTTGCCGAGGGGAGAGCCGGTGGGCGGCCAGGCGCGGGGCAGGCAACTCACCCGTCGTCGCCTCAGGGAGGAGCAGCAGCAGGAGCAGCAGCTGCCCGGCCGCCGCCGCCGAAGTCGCCCAGCGGAGCAGAGTAGCAGCGCAGGGGCCCCGCCGCCGCCGCCGCGGAGGAGACGCCGCCGCCGCCGCCGCCATTGTCCCCGTCCCGGCCCCGCCGCCGCCGCCGCCTCAGCCCCTCTCGCGCCCCCTCGCTCGCAGGGAGCCAGCGCGCCAGAGACGCCTCTCGCCCAGTCGCGGCCCGCTCGCCCCGCCCCCAGGCCCAGGCGCGCGCCCCGCCCGCCCGCTCGCGCCTCCGCCGCCTCCGCCGCCAGACCAGACGGGCGCGCAGGGTGGAAAAAGGCTGCCTCCAGTCAATCGGGAGAGGGGAGCTCCTGATTGGCCGGGCTCGGCTTTCGGCCCCGCCTCCCCCTGCTGCTGCTGCTGCTGCTGCAGACGCGGCCCCAACAACAAGCGGCGAGGGGAGCTGAGGGAGGGAAGGGGGCGCCTGACCTCCGCGACCCCCCGGCTAGACTGAGGGAGCGGGAGGCGCCGTCGGGAGGCGCGAAGAGATAAATAAGCGATAAGGCGGGAACTTGGCGGCGCTTTCGAAGCTTCTCCTCCCTCTTCCCGTTTCTTAGCTTTGCCCCAAGGACCGCCGGCCCAAATAAATGCTCTTGGCCGGGATCTGAAGCGAGGCGAGGGCACGCGGAGCGCGCGGCCCCGGCAAAGAAGCCCCGGGCCGGGGGGGGGGCGGGCGAGGCGGCGCCCCCTTTCCCGCTGGGTCTCCGGCAGACCCGGCTGGCGAGGAGGGGAGAGGCCGCCCACTCCTCCGTCGCCCGGGCTCCTCTCCCGCTTCTTCCTTCGCGTCCCGCCTCGAAATTCCCTTTCCGGACTCTCCCCTCGCCTCAGATGAGGGGCGGAGGGCGTGTGAAGAGGGCCCAGCGCAGCCTTTCTCAGCCTTGGGCCCTCAGGTGTTGCTGCCCTACAACTCCCATCATCCGTGGCCGCCGACCCTGCTGCTTAGGAATGATGGGAGTTGTAGTCCAACAGCAGCTGGGGACCCCAGGTTGGGAACAGCGGCTGCTCTGTCTGCCAGTCCGTTTCTGGACGAAATTGGAAGCGAGGCTGCTGCTCCTTGCTTAAATTCTTCTGGGACCAGGTGCCTGCTCAGGACCCCCTTGGCGAGCCTGCTCAGCACATCCTCCAGGTCAGGGGTCTGCAACCTTTAAGACAAAAAGAGCCACTTGGACCCGTTTCCGAAGAAAAAAACAACCTGGGAGCCGCAAAACCATTGCGACATTTAAAACAAATATAACACTGCATATATTGTTTCTTACCTTAATGTCCGATCTGACAGCGGGTGGGAAGGTGACGTCGGGACGGTGCGTGACTAACGCACGCACCGCCCCCATGCGACGTCACATCCAGTACAGCGCCCGCCACAGTGGGGAGTGTCAGGGCGCACAATGTGCCTCCTCCCCTCGCTAGTATCTGCCCCGGAGCCGCGGCAAAGGTGTAAAAGAGCCACATGCGGCTCCGGAGCCGCGGGTTGCAGACCCCTGCTCCAGGTGGAAGCAAGTGAGCAGGAAAGGGGCTTTTTCTGCCCCTGACACACATTCTTCCTTGTCCTTATGGTATTTTAGTTTTGTTTCTAGGTTGATAGCATAGTTCATTTTTTGAAGGTCGAAGTTCCTGCCCCAAGTGTCCTTCTGTCCCCATAGACAGAGCCATTCCTGTCCAGGAGGCAGACCGAGGCAGCTGCCTCAGGCGGCAGATCCCAAGCGGCGTCTCCGCTGGTGAGAGCCTTAATGACATGTGTCCTGGAACCTCCACGTACTAGAATAACATCAGTGATTCAGCCTGTCTGAATCAGCTAAATTTTATAATGAATTCAAGTCTGAGCATCCATAGAGCATTTTAGGGTGTTCAAAGAGCTACATATATATTATCTCAGTGATCCCCCCAAATTACTCTGCCAGGTAGATAAAGTCTATTATACTTCAGACAGAAGAGTGGACAGCAGTAGCTTGCCTAATGTCTCTCAGAGAATATAAATGAATAAAGGGAGATTTGAACCAGAGACGCCCCAGTTAATTGCTTACACTTTCATACCCTACACGAAACCATCTCTCGATGAACTCAGAAATGACCTTATTTTTCTCTGTATAAGACTATGTTTTTTTGAGATCACCCCCAGAAAGCTTAACAACCCCAAAATACTGATTTCTTAAATTGGGGTTCAAAAAATAGGAGTTGTTTTATAATGGGAGCAGAAAAAATACAGTAATTTCCTACATGGAGTTTCTTCAGGGTACACAGGAAATGCAGAGCATTCCATTCTTAGTAGGTTCTCACTAGCTGCCCTGTTGTCATACAGTCAGAGCTGAAACACATTTACCAAGATGTAAATTCTTTTGAGTTAAATGAGAGCTACAATTCTAACTATAGCTGCATATACACATTTTATTCTAAAATCAATGGAGATGGAATACTTGTTTATTCTATGTAGTGCGTACACAATCTAGATCTATTGCATGTTTTTTTGCCCCGGAAAGACTGGTTTCATTGAGAAGCTGGTTTTATTCCAAAAATAAAAGCTCATTGCAGATTGATTCTGCTTTACCCTGCAGTGTGTCCATATGGAAACAGATGTAAGTAGCCCCAGAAATAGGAGGTGTATCCATACCTGCCCTATGAAGTGTCACCACTACCTTATTCAAGGGATGTTGGTGGGGCTGTGGTCTAAACCACTGAGTCTCTTGGGCTTGCTGATCAGAAGGTCGGCAGCTCAAATCCCCACGACGGAGTGAGCTCTCGTTGCTCTGTCCCACCTTCCTGCCAACCTAGCAGTTCGAAAGCACACCAGCGCAAGTAGATAAATAGGTACCACTGCGGCTGAAAGGTAAATGGTGTTTCCATGTGCCCTAGCACAGTGTCCCGTTGTGCCAGAAGCAGTTTAGTCATGCTGGCCACATGACCTGGAAAGCTGTCTGTGGACAAACGGCAGCTCCCTCAGCCTGAAAGTGATATGAGCGCCACAACCCCAGTCACCTTTGACTGGACTTGACTGTCCAAGGGTCCTTTGCCTTTACCTTTTACCTATTCAAAGGTAACCTAACCAAGGGTCTCAAGTATCCTTGCATCTATCCTTGCAGACAGCAGAGTCTAATCTGGATTGAAAGCAGCATGTTGAAGGGGAGCATGAATGATTCCAGACTGGAAAAAACTATATCAGTGTTCTACAAATGGTGTGTACATAGCCCATATCTGCTCAGAAATAAGTCCTACTGAAATCCTAAATGGGGTTATGATTGCAGCATTAAGATTATGCTTCTGAATTCTTCCCCCACCCATGACCTTTTCTGCACTGCAACCCTCTGATCTGTGCTTTTAATAACTGTCTGGCCCTGACAGGCAGAGATTTCAGAAGTTCAGACTTTCCTGTCACGGTGCTGGAGATGTGTCTGACCAACTTGTCTGCTGTGTAGTTCTTAAGAATAGGAGTTCCAGTTCCATATGAGCCTTGAACTCAAATGAACTCCTGCTGGGGAGGATGAGATTGGCCAATATACTTTCCTGACTCTACTTGTTGGTCATGGTGTGTCATATAAACACTATAGGAAATAGTAGCAGTATGCTTTTAGTCTGTAAAATTTTCAACGCCATTTTTGTCTCTTCTTTGAAAATGTTTCTCAGTTTCATTTGAGTCAAAACCCAAATTAATCCAGGAATCTGTTTTCAATGTCGGAAGTCAGTCCCGGCACATAACATGAAGGAGAGGCTTGTTTTTCCCCCATGAAGTAACCATACCATTCCCGGCAACTGTGGGATTGAGAAGGCCTGCCAAGGAGATTCCACTGCTGCTTGTTTTACTGGAAATGTTTAAAATATGTCTGTTTCCATATTAGAGAGCAATTCAGATGCTTGGATGAGTCCCTGTTATTGCATCTTGCAGATGTTGACAGGGTGGTTGGGGAGTGTATTCTACCATCTACGGTATTTGTCCATGTGTTGCCCATTTTGGCTACTAGTATCTAACCAAGAAGGAGTACCGGTAACAAGCTGGGTTTGGGAAGTGGTGAAGGCCACTGTCGTCTCCGTTGGGAGGTGGCAGACTCTTCTTCCTTGAAGGTTTTTAAGCAAAAGTTGGATGGCCCTCTGTCATGTATCCTTTAACTTTGATTCCTGCATTGTACGGGGCTGGACTGAAATCTCCCTAGCCCATCAGAGATCATCGACCAGCGCGATCAAGGCAGTTTCAGTCCCATGATGGGGCCTGAATCCTGATTGGAAGGGATAATATTTTATTCTCTTGCTCATTATACTGTTTTAAATGTGCATTTTATATTTGACTTCCTTTAGTAATGTTGTCTTCTGAAATGTTAAATATAATATTTTAGTTTCCTGTTAATTATGTTGCTTTGAATGTATACTTTATATTTTGATGTGTTGTAAACTGCTTTGATATTTTTTCTTTAAAATATAACTGGTAAATAAATTACTGTTGTTGTTGTTGAAACACTCCAAAATTTATTTGACATAGTTTTTAAGTTTATAGCTCTGGAGATAAGATAGTGAACTGCACCACCCCATAACATAGCTACCAAGGGGCTGAAAAGCATTCTCCCAATGCTACTCTCTGGACACTGTCCCAAAGGTAGGATCAGAACTACTGTATTACAGTGCTCCCAATTTCCAGAGCTGGTAGGGGAGGATAACATGGTAAATGGTACAAAAAGGCTGAAGAGAGATCAAGATGCAAAAGAAAGCTCACATTCCCTCCGTCCCTCTCTCTGTAAAGGTTATCCATTAGGGCAGCCAAGGCTGACTTAGTCCCAAGGCCAGGCCTGAACCCAGACTGTGATGAATCCAAATTGTATGTGTGTATTGGGGGGTAGTATTGTTTCTGTTTGTTATTATGGTATGCATTTTTGTGTTTTTACATTGTAAACCACCCTGTAATCTTCAGATGAAGGGTGATATAGATTTTTTTTAATCATCATCATCATCATCATCCAACAATGTTTGCTGCTGCCCCCTCTTCACCACCTGCCCCTCAAAGGGGGTATTTGCGACTGGTCAATAGTTGTAGTCTAAGAGGTCTAGAGCAGGTTTCTTTAGGAGCAGCTGTACCACTGCTTCTACACATTAACAGCCCCTATACATTATTT